TCCCTGCGGCCCCAGACACACTGCTGTAACCACCAAGCTGGTTACTGAGAGTGGACACTCTCATTATAGAGCCTGGGAACATGGGAAGGGGGTGAACTTTTCAGCTTAAGGTGCTGTTGCAGGTCTCTGTTTTCTCTGTTCTTCTCAGGCTGGAACAAGCTCCCTCCCACCAGCAAGATGATGGCTGATGTTTTAAAGAAGAAGCCACTGGCTGAAAGGTGTGTGATGCTCCTGCACTTGGGGTGCAATGGGCACCATGTGCCAGGATTAACCCAGGGAAAGGGGGAATTCATGGCAATCATGTGAAGGACCCCCTGGAACACCCAACACTTCTTGGATGCATTTATTCCCTCACCACCCATAGCGAGATGGGGAAATACTTTTGTGGTTCCTTTATGGATGAACAAGGGCAGAGTGCTCTGGAGCAGCTTATGGCAAGACCCAGGACCTGCAGGTCCCTCCGCTAGGTGTCCAAGCCATGTCGTTTTTCTCATCATGTCAAGATGGAGATTTGGTTTCGTGCAGACCAAGGGTGCCATCTCGTGGCTGCTCCCTCCCGAATCCAGCCAGTAGGGAACACCGGGGTCAGTGCCAAGCTCCATCTAGAAACCCCGTTGGAGGCAGGCTATGCGGGTGGAGGACACTTTGGTGGCAGTTTTTGACAGGTCGGGATGAATATTAGACAAAGCTGGAACTTCTTCATCGTGTACGTGGGAGCTACGATCCTGCCTTGTTGGCACTGGGATTTTACAGGAGGTGGAGAAGTGTCCTCAAGGTTGTGGGACAGGTGATGGTAGCCATGCTGCCTTGCAGCAGCTTTCAGGAGCATGAAGGGGACCTCAGGCCAGGTGGGGTGCAGGCTGGGTTAGATTTGCCAGCAAGGCAGAGCTGGCTTATAGGACACTGATGAAGATCTGGGACAAAACAGTCATGGGATTGTCACCAGGAGCCCTGGCGATTGCAGACACAATGCTGTTACACAGAAGTACGAGAGCCTGAGGTGCAACAGAGACAACATTGAGGCTGTCCCAAATTTGCTGAAGTAGATTCAGCGTGTGTCCTCCCTCCTGCAAGGGAGATGACACCTCAAGCAGAAAAATCCTGGAGATCCCTCCCAGCTTTGTGTATCCCTCTGGGAAGCTTTCTGTATCCCTCATTCTCCCAGTCTCCTTGTCAGTCTTACCTGTGAATGTATCCTCCTCTGCCTCTCAAAATTGCCCAGATCCACACCTGTGATCTCAGTGAAGGACATAGCATGGGTATTTGTGGCATTACAATGATGGCAGTTCTTTGAGACCGCAATTAGGTTGCAGAGAAAAACCAAGCTTCTGTTTATTCCTTGCCCAGGTAACTGCTGAGTACCAACCCCATAGAGGCTCTTTCAGTGCCTTTAGGTTTATTTGGGGCTAAGGGAGCTCAGCCCTGGACACCAGGGCTCAGCCAATGTCTGAGCCCAAAGCTTTTGATTTCCATGGAACTTGGAAATTAGATGGGATGATGCTATTTGATTTTGTCTCTTTTATGTCCAATTGAAGGAATCCATCTGAAAGGAAGAACTTGAAGATGAGTTTTATCAGCTACACTGATGAAATTGCTTCATGTGCTGGCATAAAGCCCAGCATGCTGAAGCTGCTCCTGACGGACCCACAGCTGGCCCTGGCCATCTTCTTCGGTCCCTGCTCACCCTACCAGTACCGACTGGTGGGACGAGGGAAGTGGAGAGGGGCCAGAGACGCCATCCTGACCCAATGGCAGCGGACACTGAAGCCCTTGAGAACTCGGGTGGTGGATGACTCTTCCAACAGCTCCTCCAGCTGGTGCCAGATGTGCCTCCTGGCCCTGCCAGTGGCTCTCACAGCAGGTTTCCTGATTTCTAAATACCCTCAGCTGGGCTGGAGCCACCGGGCAGGTTCCCAGCTGTAGAAGAAACCTGGTGTGACCCGGTCCTGGGTGAGCTGGGGATGGTGCAAAGCTGTGCTGCTGCTGGGTGCTGCCAGGGGGCTGGAGCTGGTCCAGCACCGGCAGAAGCTCAGCCCGTGCTGCTCTCTGTTGTCCGGCCTCCTCCTGACGATGTTTAACATCCACCAAGGGCCGTACAGAGCGTTTACCCCAAACCTGCTGCAATCCATGCCTGCGTTGCATCAGCACCAGGCCAGATCTCTGGTGGGCTTTTGGGAAGAGCCATTCTGGGACAAGCTGGTGTTCATAGGGCCAGTATTCCCTCCTCCCTGCTCATCCAGAGCTTCCTCTATAAAATTTCATCAAAACCCACAACACCTTGAGATTTTTCTGAAACACTAGATGTAGAGATCTTTGTATTTGTCTGGTAACTTTTAGGAGGTGGTGACAGGCACAAATAAACCTCATGGATTTGGTCTTCTCTCATGGTTTGTTAATGGTTTATTATCAGTGGAGGGGTCAGGTGGACCCAGTACCCCGAGTTATTGCAGAGGGCACAGTCCCATCCTAAAAATTGTATAGATAGTGACAAATCCAGGTGGTCAAGCAGGCCTGCCATTGTCTGGGAACCCTGAAGCCCACAGGGAGACCTCGGTGCCTTCACCGGGAGATTTTGCTGCAAACTCAGTGGACGGGCGCTGTGCACTTGCACCCGGCCTGTAGGCACTCCCCTCCGGGAGAGGCTGTCCCCAGTCGTGCCCCCCGA